AGAAATAATATTTTTTAATAATCCCTTTTTCATTCGACATACTTTATCTTAATTAGGATATTAATAATGAACTAGCAGATCATGTAGCTTTTGGAATAATCCACCAATTTTGTAAAATTAAACACTATCTAAAGATTTGCATCGAAGCGTTTTTTTTTTATAGTGATTTTAATCACTGTCAGATATCATTATACTTGATCCATCTATGCCACGTCACCACTGTGCCACGACCCCCCTGTGCTGGGTTTTATTTTTTTTTAGAACTCTGCTTGTACAAAAGTTATAAAAGGATGAGGAACGAAGATATAAGAGAGAGCATGGACGTACAAGCAGAGTTCTAAAAAGAAAAGTTTATTATATTTTACATAAACACTATCAAAAATTAGGTTCAAAAAGTTTTACTTTCTATATGCATTTTTAAGTTTTCAAACCCCCTTGTATTAAGGGAAATGGTCCGATTTAAAAAAAGTATATGGAATGAAAAAAGTATATAAATATTATTTCTCATAAAAAAATTGTGTTGATCTAAACATTTTTCAAAAAGTTATAGCATTTTAAAGTAAAAAATGTAAAATATAAAATCGAGAATTTTAACACAAAAATAGCATACGGAGAACGAAGTAATATTTTTAATTTTTGACGGTAATGTCTTCAACTAGATACAATTTGTGATTTTTTGACGTTGTGTGAATGAAGTAAGTTTGATGAGAGCTGAAAAAAGTAGTAACAGATACAAAAAAAAACATTAAAGACTTATTATTTTAGGTAATATTAATATTTTAATATTAATTAATATTAATAGGTAATATTTTACCTTTATATACTATGTAGATATCTAATTGAATCGCTAACTGCAGAAACGGGACAAGTCCATTTTTATCAATTTTGATTTTATTATCATTTTTTGTTAAGCACGCGTAAATACATCGTTTACTATAGAAAGGAGTCAAATCCGACTACCCAAACGCTAAATATAGTGTTTGGAAATTTCACTTTACTGCAGAATGGGAACATGTCCATGACATGCCAATTTCTGCAGTAAACATCTTATATATCTTATATCTAATTATTTTGAATTTGTCTTATCTTAGTTGTATTGAAACCAATTAATGTACTATTAATAGTATCCAATAGGTCTTGAACAAAATACCAAGAAATTCACTATAATTAAAATGTAATATTTTTGTCAATATTATCCATAACCATCATAATGTGCTGTAATCAGTGTAATGTACATCAGTATATCGTAGCCTTTACTACAGTATAGTGTTAACTGTTATTTTATTTTTGAAAATGAATTCTGACTCTGATTCCGAGACAGAAATTCTTGAAACGTTAAAAAGGAAGAAAGGTATAATAAACAGGATACTTGTCCCACTTGTGAAGAGCTAAATGCTAAAATAAAATCTCAAAGTCTTAATGAAAATGCAAAAAAAGTGGCTGTTGCTGAATTGTTAATTTGTGGCGGACCTGTAAGGCTCGCCTGGGGAAATTTTAATATTTATTTGTTGTTCAGGTTACCGTCTGGATTCCCTATTGAGCTATCCGCACAGAGTCCTCCAAGATGTATATAGGAAATAGTGATTATTTATAAAGAAATAAATTTAACACTATTGATAGAAATACTGGTTGTAAATATTATAATGTATTTTAAGATATAAATGTATAAATATATATATATATATATATATGTATATATGAATAGCACAATTTCAATATAACACGGCAAGTATTAGTAAATGGTTTACAATTAGTGCTTATTCGACAATGTTGGACACTAGATTGTCAACACTAGACTGACTATTGCTGCAAAATAGTCATACAAAGAAAACAAGGGGACATCCGCATACGGATGTCCCTATCAATTATAAACATATATTCGCAGAGATAAATATTTAATAAATTAATATTTAATAAAGTGGTGGAGCCACAACAAATTTACAAGTGATGTTTTCTGCAAAAGGAGACATGTCCATAACTTAAATTTATTAATTAAAAAAAAGTTATAATATTTTTTTTTTTTACAAATTAAATGAAATTTTTAAGTGATTTAATTAAATATAGAGTCTAAAATTTCGAAGTTTTTACATTAACATTTCATAAGTTATTCAGTTTTTCATCATTACAGAAAAATTAGGAAAAGTGGACTTGTCCCGTTTCTGCAGTTAGCGATTCAATTATTATAAAGGTAATAGAATTTTAATTTGTAAAAAATTTAACAACAATAATAATGATTATTTTAAGATTAAAAAAATGTATAATATTTTTGTTATACTTATTCTAAACGATGTTATACTTTTGCGTTTTGATAGGAGCATAAAACCATTTTTATAGTAGCAAAATGAATTATAAAAATGAGGAAAGATATTAAGCATTTATGGGATTTTTTGCTTCGATGCAAAGCTAAGAAGGTATTAATTTTACTAAATTATATTTTTTGTTGTGTCTATTACCATATTTTATCAGCAATCACCGAGGTGGTTTCTTTTAGTGATATGTGAAAAGATCACAAACTGTTTCCAGTCAAAGCTATTGCACATAAAATTCGAAAAAATTTTCCTCGTTCCTTGTAAATGGGAGAAAACCTCAAAAAGTTATAACATTAAAAATTGATAATTTTTGACAATTTTTAAACGTTTTTTTTTTTAAACTTTTTTAAAAATAAATGAAATAAAAAACCCAGCACACTGGGATCGCGGCACAGTGGGAACGTGACACAGTTAGATCCATTATAGATTTACTGTGACAGTGATTAAAATCACTATCATAAGAAACGCTTCGATGCATATCTGTAGATAATGTTTAATTCTAAGAAATTGATAGATAATTACAATAGCAACAACAATTATTTCCTTAATTATATCCAGATTAGTAATTCTTAGATTCAAAAATTTAATATAAAATTATATTGCTTGAAGTGCTTGAGGATATATCCATGTTTACAGTTGAGTTCTGACGTTTCGGACTCATTGCAGAGTCCATCTTCAGAGTGATGGTTGCTAGTCGGTGGCTGCAACTATACTGTATAGTATACAATATATACATATATGCAATATATGCAATATATGCAACTATACAGTATAGTTGCAGCCACCGACTAGCAACCATCACTCTGAAGATGGACTCTGCAATGAGTCCGAAACGTCAGAACTCAACTGCAAACATGTATATATCCTCAAGCACTTCAAGCAAAAAACAATCCATGAAATCTTTAACACATTCATAAAATTATATATTATATAATTGTTATATTGAATTGTTTTCAAATTATTATTGATATTGATTTTTAATATGGTAAAAGTAATAATTTTTAACCTTCTTTATTTCGTACTTTAAAGTGAAAGTTTATAATAAAAAAAAAAAATTTANAGATGATATCTGACAGTGATTAAAATCACTA